AGAAAAATTGAAAACTATCGAAAATGGTAAATTGGAATTTTTGTTTGAAACCTATCTATCACCTTGTTTTGGATTATTCGCAATAAACGATCAAAAGGGATAAAAATAAATATTGTAATGTACTTTATTCTCATGAATGCCAAATATTAAATTGGAGCAAAAAGAGGATTTGCAATCAGGAAATGGCGCTATAAAACCCGGAAAAATTTTAAATTTCACTTTTGTCAACAGTTCGATAGAACACACACGTTAACAGACTTTTGCAATATTCAGAAATAAATAAAATTCAAAAGTTACCAGAGTAAATTTTATAATATTAAAAAAGTGAATCTAACTTTCGAAAAAATACAAATTTATATAAACAGGAAAAAAAAATTAAAATAACTAATTACTTTTATTTTTACTATATCAGAGTAACAAAAAAGAATAAAAATTTTTTTAATCATTGATTAATCTAAAAAATACGGAAAATATTTGAATCGTAGTCAATACGAGTGCTCGCGATATTTTATCGAAAAAAAATCTGAAAATATCACGATCGAATGATAAATAGAGAATACCACATTTGTCCGAAGTATACCTACATTTTAGTGATCGTTTCGCATTCTGAATAGCCATTCATCCGAGATTCTATTTTCGGATAATGTCTAAACAAGAAATGCGCCGTCGCACGACAGGGATGCATTCTCTCTCATCAACAACCTAACAGGATGAATTCAATCGATTTAGAGTAATCGAAAAATAAAATCGTCAAAATGCGTTTACGATAATCCGATTTCAAGGAACAATACAATAATAACTTTTTAAAATTCTTTTTGTAGACTCATAATGCATAATAGAATTTTACTATTGTTGTTTGTAATATATTGATAAAAATAAATAATAACTAATCAATCTTTAAAAATAAACAACATTATAAAAAAAAATATTTTTACTAAACATCCATCTTTTCTGACATTTATAACACATGTCTGCATATTCAACGCTTATTTTTATTTTTTTTTACATGTAGTAATGTTGAAAAAATTTTATAACTTTGAAAAAAGTTTATGAAAAAAAAAATAAATTCAAAAATTTGTAAAAATGATTATATTTTACACTGAATAAAATTTAATTAAAAAATTAAGTTAAAATAATTGAAACGTGATAAAATGACATCCTAATTAAAATTCTATCATCTTAATAAAACTGATCATGCTCTCATAAAGAAATCACATCTTAATGAAAGGAATCTTGATGATAATTTATTTATTTTCATCTTCGACTCTGATGATGACCCTGGAATAATATGGTACGAATACGACAAGATTCTATCTAAGAGCTCGTACTATTTCCATGAAGAAGAGGATAGAAATTGGCACGATTCCCAGCCAACTTAAATAACGCCTTCCTAACTTTTTCTCTTCTTAACGTTCCAGATATCGATCCTTCAATTCTTACAAAATTCAACCTCACATTACACTATAACTCTTCGACTTGCACCTGTTCCTATTCTTCTAACAAAGTACCTGTAAATTTTTATAACTAATATCATTGTAATGTTCTTCCATTTATTACAGCAGATTCAGAGTGCGAATAAAAGGATTATAGGATTCTCATTAATAATCATCATATTGCAGAGACAATAACTCAATATATGGTGACAAAAATTATTTTTTCAAAAAAAAAAAATTGAAGAACATCACAAATTGGGGATCGATTTCACTTGTTTGTAATCTATCAGTTGCACGTGCGCATTGGAACATAATTAATGTAGCTTTTTTTATAACAAAACCCGTCTACCATATCACTTTAATTGATTGAAAAAGTAGTTATGAAGGAATAAAAAAGATAAAATTAGAAAAATAAATAATAAAGAACGATAAATGTCTACTTTGCATTTTCACTTTAATGCCTGCATAACAAGATTCTGCCTGTGGTAGATTTATGCGAGGTATTAGGTTTCACAGGAAAGCTAAAATACAGCTTGTGGAACTTACATTGACATATCATTGACTTTTTGGGGATTTTTATAAATTCCAGTTCAAATAAAGTCATATTTTTATTCTTCAATTCAATTATTTCTTCATTTTCAACTATTTTTCTTTTCATTTAATAAATAATGACGTTCATTGACGAACGCTAAACTGTGACAAATAATAAGGTAAAGTAATTAAATTTGTTAAAACGTTTATTGAGTGATTAATTACTAAAAATTAATTGAAAATCTTTTATTAATAATAGGTGAAATTATTTGGTGTTTAAAAAAATTCATTCAGATATTTGAAAAATAATTTTTCATTTCACAGATGAAATATTATTTAATTACTTGAAAATAATTGGATTTTGTTGTTTAACAGATTGTTATATTCACAACGAGATTACCATTTGAAATTTAATCTTCAACAAAAAGTACATTTGTTTTTTTTTATTTTGATATCTGCAATATTTATTTAAATTTAATTATGCTACCATTCCGATACAATACACAGATAAGATATTTGTTTACATTTAATATAATATTTATTTGGCTAAAATTTCAAATCAAATTTGCATTCATATATAAACTTAAATAATTCATGAACCCATATTTATATAAAGCACGATTGTCAATAAATCCTCGATATCCATCTCACGATCAATATAAATAAAGAATAAAATAGTTTTCCCAAAAAAAAAGAATTTTTATATTTTTATGCATCTTGAAATTTTTTATGTCATTTTAAAGCGAAAAAAAATCAATTTTCTCATTTAACAATATTAGATATTGATAAAAATCCCAAAGTATATCTCTAGAAAACACCTCTAAGGTAAGGTTAACCCATGTCAAACTAACAAAAAAGGAAATAAGAACTGTTGTTGGACAAACAGTCTTCGATCACGATAGCAAACTCTAGAAGACCTTCTCAAGGGAATAGATCACATACGTTGCTTTGGTACTACTAAAGCCTTTTGCCTACTTTCGCACGAGTCATTTTCAATTCCGTACAAGTTTCTCTATTGTTGGCAAATATTTTATCTCACTATATTACTGTTGAGTAATCGAACTTAAAGAATGAAAAGGAAAAATTAGTGAAGGAACAGAAAAAAGGAGCAAGATCTTCCAAGCTGTTCTCTTGGGAATCTTTCTCAACCTCGATCTACTCATTTAATTCGATACTAAGTCTCAATGGACTTCCTACTATCTTACTTGAATCAATACAATTTTTTTCCTCTGATACGCAAAGAATGGAATTTTTAAAAAATCATTTGAAAGTGTACTTGAGAAAATCTGGCTTATTTGAAAACTAAAAAAAAAAATGATTAAGTGGAAGGAATAATAGATCGTTGAAGAATGAAATTCTGTGAAATAATGAAGAATAATTCAGTAGTAGTATCAAGTAGTGATAGAGGTTAATGGTTGGGCACAAAAGGACCAACTGATCGATCAGGAAGAGCGTATACACGATAACAAGGAATGTAAACTTGTATCCAGACTAAAGAGCCCATTTGCCATTTATAATAGAAGCACATCAAGCAGCTGGTTCAACTTAATTACTAGAAGCTGACTGGTGAAGGGGTGTAGATCCTGTAATACTGGCAAGTGACTTATTGAAGCATAGGGATATCGATTAACTGACGTGAGACGGCATGTTCAAGAGAACGTAAAACTTGCTGAAGACAATTTGTTGCTCCATGAAAGAAGATAAACCTAAACAAAGTTCTCTTTTCAAATGATATACTTTTATTTTCATTCTTTTGTGTTAAAAATTTTTGTTAATTTATTCTCTTTGTGATTTTCATTTTGTTTTAATAAACAAGTTTTTTGTTAATTTTATTTTATTACGAACGAAGTTAATGAAGTGAAATGCTTTATTCAGCTCTTAATGAAGTATCCATTGAAGGTATATTTGTGTAGAAAAAATTTTATCTATGTAATTAAATTTTTCTTTTTCCAAAAATATCAAATGATGAATACAAAATTTTTTTAAAAAAATGTTTTAAAATAAAAAACAGTAATAGCCAATTGAGTTATAAAAATACAAGAGTAAAAAACGAAAGAAAAACATACATTCTATTGTTCTCTTAATTTAATTGTGATGGAAGTAATCATTTTAAACAGACTATATTTTACATGAAAATACTCAAATAATCAATAAATATTCGATAAAGAATTTAATAAAACAATAATTATAACAAACTAAGCGAGATAAAATTCAATAGTATTTCTCATCATCACTTGATAAATCCGAGAACCTCAAGAGCACTTCAATTCATATCGTGATTGATGATTGATTAAATTTGTGAGCTAACAATGGCAATGCCAATAAATCGGATTATTACGTAATCCTTTGCTCTACTGCCTACGAAACATCAATTTATGCTCTAACGAAGTGCAGATTTTACCCACTTAGTTTGTTTCATACTCCATCAGCACTACTACTAATGATATAGTCAGTTTTGAGGAATTTTTAATCCTACAAAAAGCATCTAAATAATTCTCACAAAATTATTTATTATATAATAATAAAAATCATCACAGCATTATCATTTTTTAAAGTCCACTGTGATTATTATTTTATTTGCTTACATGCAGACATCAATTTATCATCCAATCTGATCTAATATTATATCATGCACAATAAGAAAAAGAACTTGACACTAAAATAATTAAGATGTTCATCAGGGACAATTAAATACGAACAAAGTCGTGCAAAAAATAAAGATAATGAAAATAACTCAAATAAAATTTAAAGAGAATTGTTTTTCTTGAGTTTCAATGTAGTTGAAGACTTTGTTTCAACTCATTCAGAATAATGTATGTTAAAAACAATTATTTCATATTCAAATATGAAGCGTCCAAAGCTCACTTTGCATAATACGTATTCAGTATTTTCATTGATATGCACTGGACAGACAAGGTTTCAATGAAATAATCATGTAAATTTATAAAACGTCTCTTCATCTAATCTTTCACATGCACATGATGATTTATCACTCGAATGGCCTTTGCACAATTCAAAATAAACACTTGCTACTTATATCAATTGCTGCAGTTATCAGCCAACGTTCGTTGGTCATCAGTAGTGAGTTTTTATATCCAACAAATTTAACTGAATAAATCTGGACTCAAAAAAAAAACATTGTGTGATAAATATTCAAAATGGATATTTACATTACATCTTCATTAATAATTGGCTTTCTGTTAGTAGTTTATTACTACTTGGCTCAAAAATTAAAATACTGGGAAAAAAGAAAAATACCTACAGCAACGACTAAATATGTTCCATTTTTCGGACACTTGTGGCCACTCATAACATGTCAAAAAAGTCTCGGCAATATCTATGAAGATTGTTATAACTCAGCACCTAATAGCAGCATGGTTGGTGTCTATAATTTTGGAACTCCTGAATTATTACTTCGTGATCCAGAATTGATAAAAACCGTTCTTCAAACCAATTTTGTTAGTTTTGGAAGGACTATGGATTTCATAGATCACGATAAAGAACCACTACTAAGCAAGAATCCATTTTTCAATGAAGGAGAAGAATGGAAGAAACAACGTTCAATATTGACAAATACAATGTCTACAGCAAAATTAAAAAATATGGCAATGGGAATGAATGAAGTTTATGTTAAATTAGATACATATCTTCAAGAAAAGATCAAATTGAATGCAGGATTTTATGAAGTTAAAGGAGAAGACCTGTTTGGACGATTCACATCTGAAGTTGTAGCTAAGGTGGGCTTCGGAATCGATGGGAATTCATTCACAGACAATCCAGGAAATTTCTTTGAACTGGTTAAGAAGGTATTTGAACCAACTGGTCTAAAAGCATTCAAACAATTAATCGCATTTTTTTTTCCGCCACTTGGTAAAATTGTTGATGTTAGATTTATTCCTACTGAGCTAGATAAGTACCTCAGAAGTGTAGTAAGAGAGATTTTAGACGTTAGAAAGAAGAGTGGCATTCGCGGCAATGATTTCATTCAACAAATAAATGATGTTTTCGAATCAGATTCACAAGAATTTGATGAGCTTAGTGTAACAGCATATGCAGTATCATTTATGATTGATGGATACCTCACAACAAGCTTCACTCTAAGTGTAATAGCACTCGAATTAGCTGTTTATCCTGAAATTCAAGAAAAATTGAGAAAAGAGATCAAAGATGTCTTGAAACATCATGAGAATAAAATTACCTATGAAACTATTCAAGACATGAAATACATGGACTTGGTAATTCACGAGTCAATGAGATTTCGATCAGTACTGTCGACATTTACAAGAGTATGCACTGAAGAATTTAAACTTGCTGGCAATGATGGTCTTGAGTGTGTCGTTCAACCTAACAGTAAAATAGTTGTATGTCCGGTTGGATTACACACTGATCCTAAGTATTGGGAGAATCCTCAAATATTTAATCCTGACCGTTTCAAGGATGGAAATAATAATTTCAATAAATATGTCTTTTTTCCTTTCGGAGTTGGTCCCAGGATATGTCCTGGTCAGAGAATGGCTATGTTGCAAATGAAAGGTGCTTTAACAAAACTTCTGGATAATTATTCTTTAGAGCTCTCATCCAAGATGAAACTGCCTATTGTTGATGATGTAACAAGTATGCTTAATACTGCAAAAGGTGGAACTTGGCTCAAAATTAAACCTTTATAGCTTAATTTTTTCATCGACTGAAAAGTTTGATATAAATAATAAATAAAACATCAATAATTTTGTTAAAAATAGTTTTTAAATAAATAAATTTTGTTGAAAAAGAAATCTGTTCGGTTTTTTCTCTAAAAACAATTCAGATTGTATAATAACCTTATACCACCTAAAATTATTATAAATAATTTCTTAGGATTAAATCAATAAAATGAAGCCAGAAAAATATTAATAAGCGATAAGTCATTAATAATTAAAGAGTTGAAAAATTGTCTGCTAAAACACTATCAATTTTTATATTTATATTCTTTCTCATAGATAATTCACTTGTAATTCCCCGATGAACTCAACTGGATGATAACAATGACATCGAAAAATTATCTGCTCTGTAACAAAATCTCTTGTATACACTGCTGATGATAAAAATATACGTACCGGAAAACATACTTTCAGTTGAAATCAAACTGTTACACAGCAATGTGACATAAAGAATCAAAAATGGAATTATTAAAATTATTTCTCTGTGCAATTACAGTTATTATAATCTACTTAGTGATTTATTTATATAAACAAAAAATACCATGTTTAGATAAACGAATTCCATGTGTGAGTGGTGTACTGCCATTAATTGGACATAATTTACCAATAATAATAATGAAAGAGAGTTTTATAATAATGTTTTATAAATTTTATAACCAACTACCAGATAGCAGTATCATTAGCTACTACAACTTTCGAACTCCAGGAATAATAATCCGTGATCCGGAATTAGTTAAAACGATCATGTTAAGTGGATTCGATAAGTTTAGTAAAAACACATCGACATTAGATGCTAATTTAGATCCATTACTAGCAACGAATCCTTTTTTCGTTGATGGTGATGAATGGAAAACCAATAGAACTATCTTACTACATGGATTATCCAGTCGAAAACTTAAGCTAATGGCTCTTCAAATTCGTGATGTTAGTGCTAAATTCACAGCATATCTTAAATCAGAGACGAATGGACAGGATACAATCTCAGTTAATTCTATAGAGTTACTGTCTCGTTTTACTGCAGAAGTTGTGGCAATTGCAGCGTTTGGAATTGATGGAAAATCATTTACTAAAGAACCTCGAACTTTTGAGACTATGATAAGACCGATGCTAAAGCCAGGAAGTTCTAAAGAGTTTATCCACATTTTGACATTTTTTTTTCCTATTTTAGCTAAATTGTTTAAAATTCGATTCATGCCTAAAGAAATAAATGATTATTTCTGTTTTATTGTTGAAAGTGTTTTAGAATCAAGAAAGAAGAGCCTAAAATATACTGATGACTTCCTTCACCAAGTTTCAGAAATGTGTAGAACTTCATTAACTGACGTTGTTGATACGCATGCAGTAACTTCACATGCAGCTTCTGTTTACCTTGATGGATATATTACTTCAAGCATTGCATTAATACTAAGTGCTTATCAAATCGCAGCACACCCTGAAGTTCAAGATAAAGTTCGTCAAGAAGTGAGAGAAGTTTTTAAAAAATACCCTGATGGAATATCGTATGAGATGCTTCAGGATATGAAATATTTAGAACAAGTTATCAACGAATCGTTAAGGATATTTCCACCACTTGGATATTTAGGGAAAGTTTGTACTGAAGAATTCAAATTAGTAGGTAATGATGGCTTAGAATGTGTGGTTTACCCAGGAACAGAAGTGATAATTCCTGTTATGGCATTACACCACGATTCAAAGTTCTGGGAAAACCCAGATGAATTTGATCCAGATCGATTTAGTGAGGAAAAGAAAAATAACCACCACAAATACGTTCATTTGCCATTTGGAACTGGACCTAGAATATGTGTGGGAAGAAGACTGGCTCTGATGCAGATAAAAGCAGCTCTTGCTACATTAATACGGGACTATGCTATCGATGTTCATCCAAAAACCGATGAACCTATTAGAGTTCATCCTTTATCAGGACTCTTTACAAGTCCTCATTGTGAAATCTGGCTTCGCATCAAGCCTCTTTCAAAAGAATAATTGAAAAATGTACTGATTGGATTGAAAAAAAAATTTATATGATAACGAATGAATGAATTGAAGTGAAAATTAGTTGCTCTAGATTTTTTAACAAAGAAATAAATTAAGTAATAATTAATATTTCAATGTAGTGATTTTTAATAGTATAACATTTTATATAATATTCATGAAAACATTATGCAGAGGAAAAAAAACCAGTTATCATAAAAAACTTTTCTTGATATTCATCTATATATACTTCTTTTTATTGATTTATCTTTTTCAATTTATTGCTAAAAAAATGTTCGAAAAAAGTATTTACATAAATACGAAATTTTTATCTATACTACTAAATAATTTTTAATAAAATAAGCTGAAATTTATATTTAATTAGTTGGAATACGATATATTTATCAATAAAGATGGTTTTTTATAACTTAATTATAATTGAACGTGATCTTTTTTTTTATTAAAAATATCATGTATAACTTCCTTTTCCCCCTTCCTTCTTCAACTGCACTGAGAATCATCTACAATCAACCTCATTACGTCACATAAATAAAACACTAGCTACTTGTGTCAATTGCAGTAGTTATCAGCGAACACTCTATACATACAGTGGTCATTTATCTTCACATGAGTCTTTAAATCACAAATAAATTAAAAAGTTCATGAACAAATATTTTATCGAAATTTACAATACACAAAAATGGATACATTTAATTTAGTGTCAATTATTATCTGCTCCTTGTTGGTGCTATATTATTATTATGTGCAAAAACAAAAATATTGGGAAAAACGGGGAATACCAACAGCTAAAGTAAAAAGTGTGCCAATCCTCGGCCACATGTGGCGGTTTATAATGTTTAAAAGAACTCTTGGAGAAATCCTTGAAGACTGTTACAATTCTACTGATAGTAGCATGGTTGGTGTTTACAACTTCACTAGTCCAGAATTATTGATAAAAGATGTAAAATTAATTAAAGAAATCATGCAAACACAGTTTTCTAAATTTTCCGAAAATGGAGTAAAAATAGATCATAAAAAGGATCCATTGCTTAGTAAAAATCCTTTTTTCAATGACGGAGAAGTATGGAAAAAAGAACGTTCAGTGTTGACAAACACAATGTCTACTACAAAGTTAAGAAACATAGGAATAGCAGTGAGTGAAGTCTGTAATAAATTTGATGAATTCCTTCAAAAACAAATTAAATTAAATAATGGATCCTACGTGACTAAAGCAGAGGAATTGTTTGGACGATTTACATCAGAAGTAGTAGCTGGAGCTGGTTTCGGAATTGAAGGGAATTCTTTTATCAAAGATGAAGGAAATTTTTTAGAAGCAATAAAAAAAATTTTTGAACCAACAGGATTGGCAGGATTGAAGCAAACTTTGATATTTCTTTGCCCATCAGTTGGTAAAATAATAGATGGTAGATTTATTCCAGTAAAGATGGATCAATATTTTAGAGGTATTGTGAAAGAAGTCTTAGATGTTAGAAAGCAAGGAAAGATTCGAGGTAATGATTTCATCCAGCAGGTATATGATTCCTACAAATCAGAGTCAGGAGAAATAGATGAAACTTTTATAACCGGACATGCTCTTTCATTTATCATTGATGGATACTTTACTGCTAGCTACACATTAAGTTATATCGTTTTTGAATTAGCAGTCCATGCTGATGTGCAAGAAAAACTTCGCCAAGAAATTAAACAAGTGCTGGAGAAACATGAAAATAAAATTACCTATGAAACTATTCAAGAAATGAAGTACATGGACTTAGTGATTCAAGAATCAATGAGGCTATTACCAGTCATATCATTCTTATCAAGAATTTGTACTGAAGAATGCAAATTAGTAGGTAGTGATGGTCTTGAAGTGGTCATGCGACCTGGTGATAAGATTCTTTTGTCTCCAAATGGAATACAAAAAGATTCAAAATATTGGAAAAATCCAAAAGTATTCGATCCTGAACGTTTTAAGGAAGAAAATAATGATTCAAAGTTTACCAACCTTGCTTTCGGAGCAGGTCCAAGGATGTGCCCTGGTATGAGAATGGCTTTGTTACAGATGAAAGGTGCATTAACAAAGCTTTTAGACAATTATTCTCTTGAGCTTTCATCAAAGACAAAATTACCTCTAACTTTTGACGTTGCCACATTTTTAAATGTTGTTAAAGGTGGAATTTGGATTAATATAAAACCTTTGTAAAAAAATGGTTACAGCGCATAGTTTTAAAATTCTTAAAAAATTTTAATGTTCTATTCTTGTTAAGTTTCATTCGTAACTTAGAAACATATGCAATTAGAATAATTAAGAAAATGCATAGCAAACTGTTGAGAAATAAGAACAACAGAATGTGAAACATAAAAAGCTGATAAACGTAAGTTAGCAACATTGCTAACATTAATAGACTAATTTGAAATAAGTGTACATGTACAAGGACGTTGATGTTCTTTATAAGTAGTTAGTCAATTCATTAAATTATAATAAATCTTGAAAATATATCTTTAAGGAGTTTTTCTTTATTTATTGTTGAACCAGAATTAATGACAGCAAAACTCTTGAAAATAATAGATAAGACATTCGTAAATAGTAGTTAGCATGTTAAGTTGGAAAAAAGATTGAATAATGTTATGAATGCTAATTTTATACTATGATCATCAATGTTTTATGCAAGTTCATCTAATATCTTATTAGCAACCAAACAGTTTAATTACGCTTCTGCATAGTATTCCATTTTTTATTGTCTTAAATGGTCTGTCAAATTTCAAAACACGTTAATGTGAAACAATGAATTAATATATTCACAGTATCATACCAATGATTCATAAAATCAACTATAAGATCAGTTTCAGTTGTAATTTCTATAATTACATTTAAATTAATTTTCATACTCTGATGTATTTGATTATGTTTGTGTCATATCGATAAGCTCCAATATCCAAACAACTTGAAATAGTTCAACGAGAGTTCATAAATTCATAAACCATCAGCCTGATATTATTGAAACTTGTATTTTTTAACTAACAATGTATCTAATATTAACAATCATTTTTACATCGAACAAAAAAAATATTGAGCTCGGTGTTTATTGAAACAACATTGAGTTTTATCATTCTACAACGCAATAATATTTTGATACTGTGTTTATTTAAAAGTTATACAACGTCTAAATGTGAATAAAATTTTCAAAAACATGTTATCAATTATTATCTTAACAGTAAATTTTTATTTTTATTAAATGGAACTTGAACTATGTTACATTACAAATAACACGCAATAATCTCATTCATCTTCTCTTTTTATATATCACACATAGTACAAGAGTCATCACATATGTATAACCTTGGATTAAATCAAATAATACAACTCAAAACCTAAGCTATTATAAATATTAATTTTATTGCAGTCATCAAACTATTTATTTCTGATTTATTTATTCGTTTTCAACGAAAAAAAGGGAATCTTTAAAAATTTTAATAGATGATTTTCTTCAATCTAAATATTTTTTAAAATTAAAACTTCAAACTGTTACGTCAAATAATTCCTAATATTCTTCTATAAATTTTATAAATGACTGGTAATATCATTCCATTGTTTAAATGTAAATTACAAAGCAGCTGAATTATTCATATAATTAAATGAAATTATTATCAATTATGACGAATAATTAACTGCGCATCAGTAACGTACTGGACATAATTTCCTTCTAATAACCCAATCATTAGCTTTAACGAATTTCTGATTGAATTTATTATTTATGAAAATTATTTGTTAATTATCAAGTTATTTTTTAAAATTTTTATAAATCATAATTAATCACCAGTCTATCTTGTTTAAAAGACAAATGTCATTTCGAAAAATGATAATTGATTATTATTATTTTTTGTAATATCAATGATTACTGGAATAAATGTCAATTTTTTATGTCAATTTATAATTATTTAATGTTATTATAGGAATAAATCAGAATATAGATGATTACTATTTAAACTTATTTCCTTTTGCAATAATAATAATCATCAATTTCATATAGAAACTCATATTCACAAATGTTGGGGTTGAGTTAATTAATATGTAACGACCTCGATTATTGAGCCATCTGGTACCCTTGGTGGCTTCACTTTGTGGAGTTTAAAATGGTCCATATAAAATGAATTTTAGATAATAAAATAAAACATATATTCAAGTATCTTGTAGTCATGAGGCAATAAGAAAAATTCACATGCAATAAAATAAAAAGAGCAATAAATAAAAATATAAATATTGCAGAAAGTAACAAAACAATATGTGAAATAGCGAACAAAGGAAATATAAATGTATGAGTTTCATGTAAACAGTGTATTCTAAACGTTTGTGGAGCAAAAAAAAAATTTACGAAGGACACAGTGCATCTTTCTTTGATTTCCCAAGGGAAGTCTCACTTCGTATGACGTGTGGGGCAAAGAAGTAGAAAGTGGAGCGTCTGACAACACACTCAAAATAGAAAGACCGGTATCACATGTGGTTAAAGGCGACAAAAGTAGTAGAGGTAGATGTTGAGTTTGTCGTTTCCTCTAGCAGTTACAAAAGTAACGAAAAAAAAATTTCTCAAGTATGATTTATTTTATCACCTTTCGAAAGTGTGCATAATTCCACATCCCAAGCGACTTACACTATCACTATTCTTATGGATAAAACTCAACCCGACGATTCTTAAATTTCCTTTTTTTTTATTTTTCACTGCGTCACCTTTTTCAGAACTATTTGCCTCCTTTTCTATCAACGACTCGAAGGTAGACATAAGATCAACAGGTACATGAAGTGATCCCAAAAAAAACTAGATTTTTTTTTCTAAAATCATTGATACTTTTATCACATATTTGATATCTGTCTTAATTTTACAAATAGTATGTGAGAAAATATACTATATTATTCAGGATCCTGCAATTTTGATACATAAACTTAAATAGGATAATATTTAGGTGATTTCAAGCTACAGTTTTGACGCTATAAAATCGATCGTATTAATTGAGAAGGTTTTGATAGTAGTGCACTTTGATGAAGAGCTTAACGATATCACATTTAAGCTCTTGACTTGAGCTCCTTTGAGTCTTCAGAAATTAATGCCTGTCAATTTTTTCAGCCCTAAGAGATATTAGTTTTTGGTTAGCTTCTGCCTAAACTTCTTATCAAAATGTTAATTGCTGTCAAAACTACTAAATTATTGACAACTATAAACTCACTCCGAATGAATTCAATATTTCAGTCCACGCAAAATAATTGGGATTATCGTATTTTCTATTTAAAAAAGTAATTTTAAAAATGAGATTGGAATGTTGAAGATACTTTGACAGGTTGAGAAATGTAAATTAGAAGGATTTTCTCTAAAATCCAAACTTTACGAGTTGAAATGAATTTCGAATGATAATTTAGTAAACCCATCATTGTTCCAGAAGCATATTGTTAGTATGTAAATAAGTAGTGAAAAAGATTTCATTCACTCTGACCGCATGGAAACTAATGAAAGGATTGCAGTATGATTTACTAACAGACAAGAGCAACAAGAGCAAACGAAAGCATTGAGCAAAAGCGTGCATGAAAGCGCTGAAACAATAGCCTTAATCTCGGTCATTCACAATACTAGACTTCTGGTATTTCCCATCTAACAAAACATGCTACCCACCCACTCAGCATCACAATATCACGGGTATTCTGCTCTTTGCCTATCTGTTCGAAACAAGGCTACTCAAGCACATCTTGTTCAAGTGCATCGCTCGCTTTTCATCATGAAACTGTGACACAAAGCAAACCATAGTTTTCTCGCTTTATTCTCATAAATAAATTTCATGCGGCAAAATCTGGTCATTTAGTTTTTCGTCGGTTGCTTATTTTGTTCTATATAAATTTCGTTGGTGGCGCTCCAATTTTTTCCTCTGTTATGATTCCTGGTTTTTTGCTATATTTATTTTCTTTAAACGATTTAACGAACATAAATATTATTAACCAATAACAATAAATAAAACATATTCTTTCATTCTTTTTCTTCTTCAATAAATTAACAAACTTATGCTTTTGTAATTAAAAAGAATATATTGATAAAATATGAATGAACATTTTGATTTATTGAAATTTTTTGTTAATTGAAAAAATTCTTTACTTCATAATTCTTGGTGTTATTGAATGTTATTGTCCGTTTATTTGAAAACAAAAAAAATAGTAACAAATCGGGTCAGAAGAGCAGTCACATGTACATATTCCGTGTTATGTTATTGTCGTCAAAGAATATTGTTTTTATTTTATTCAACAAACGAGAAGGTCATACATATGACCGACCTACATTTCTCTAGAGCCCTCTTTGGATTTTGGCAGATGTGTGTGAGTGAATTTATTTTTGTATTTCATGTGTCTATAGATATAGCAAGCACGTTCAAGCATATATTTTTCTCGCCAATATTATTGAATATTATTGAGTATCGAGAAGAGATGGCAAAAGCGAAAAACATTAAAGTATTACTGCCACCATCAAATAGTCTTTCGTCGCTTCTTCCGTTCATCCCTGACGTTCGATTTCCTCTCATTGCCCTTTTGGTAGTCGACCACTACACTGCTTCCTTCCTTCCTTCCTTCCTTCCTTCCGCTGTAATTCTCACCCAGCAAACTATATCCAAACATTAACCGACTCTTTTCGGTTATTTTCTATTTTTCACCAAGACTCATAAGAGTTGGCTAGGAGCTTGGAATTATCTGGATGGTCTAAAAAAACTTTTTCACCATTTCGCCTGTAGCAAAGTGATTCGCTCTTTTCTATCATTTTACTTTTTTTCATTTTTCTTTTTTTCCTACTCTTTTTATGAGCCCTCAATTCATTTTCACTTCATTTTTTGTGTGTGTGGCCAAACGAAGCGTAAAATCCTTTACTATCTCTATATTTTCTTGATAGGAAAATTGGTAATTTCAAGAGACGTGAATAGAGAGAAAACAAACAAAGTGAGATAAAGGCATTCGATTTTCATCATAACCGCAATTAGGTCACGTAAATTCAATAGGATTCTGTGTCGGACACTTTACTTCATGCATCACTGATTCTATTAAACTGATAAGTATGATGATTGATAATAAATTTGACATTAAATCATACCTCTGATTCAACTCATCAAGAAACTATGGATCTTTGTTACTGATAAATTACCCTGAAATTTAGGCTTTCAAGTTTAATCACTACAAAACTTTATCTTCTATCATGCCATTTAAATTTTTTTGTCATAAAATAACATTCAGCTAAATGGATTTTAATGACATTAATTAAATCCTAAAAAATCGATTTTAGCAAAATATTTAAAATTGAGTAAATCCATAGTCACAAGTAATTGATAAAAATCATTAATCGCTTTAATGTATTACAATATGTCAGCACAAAATGTTATGTTTAAAAGTACAATAAATGTCATCAAATTAATAAAATAATTGTATAATTTACGATTGCAGCATATTTAGAAGTTCATAAATATCCAAATGACAAAGCAATTTGA